TCCTTCTCGTCCACGCAGGAGGCATCGTCCTGAATCCCGCCTTCTATGGCGTTGCGGGTCACACCCACACCATGATCCACGAAGTCGGACACAGCCTTGGACTCTACCACGTCTTTAAGGGGGTATCAGAGATCTTCTCCTGCAGCGACCCGTGCATGGAAACGGAGCCCTCCTTTGAGACGGGCGACCTCTGTCACGATACCAACCCTACCCCAACCCACAAAACCTGCGCTGACCCCCCGGCTAACAGTAACATGTGCGGCTTCCGCAACTTCCAGAATACACCGTTCAACAACTTTATGAGCTACGCAGGTAAGAACTATTTCACCAGCTGGAATCCTTGTGGGCTTTAGACCTTCGGACATATCTCCACTTTGGCAACTTCAAACATACTTTTGAGCCTGATGAGAGGAGAGGGGATATAAATAGTAAATATTTTTTGGCTAACTACAATAATAACAAGGAAATGTTAACGGATAATGTTTAATGATATATATATATATATATGTGTTATATTGGTAAAAGCGAATTGGATATAAGCTTTATTTTATTTTTAGCAAATTTTTATTATTATTATTTTCCCTTCTACAACACCTTAGTCATTACATCAACATTGTTATGTCATCATACCTGTACATGTATATAATATTTCACTTCTATATTTATACACCTTTATACACAGTTATACGGCTTAATTAATTTTATTCTTATTTTGCAGCCATTTGTACCAATTGTTCCAAATTTCATAATATTCCGATTCTTCTTTATCTTTTAATTTCAGTGTTAATTTGTTCATTTCTGCACAATCCAAAGTTGTTGGGGTTTTTTTGGATATAAGCTTTAAATAGTGAGTTGCAGGGGGGAAGGGGGAGGAATGCTTAGATATCTTATTAATTGGTTTTGTTTCAGAATATGTTATAAAGGTGTAATGTTATTGGAGCTTCATTGAAATTGCGAATGAATGCCAGTAGGTGGTTGTGTCTTTAAATGCAAATGATTTCAGATAAAAGCGCGTTTAAATAATTGTAGTTCAATGAGAATTGTGGTACATTGATAGTAAAACACATAAAGATTTTTGATTTAAAATGTACAATTCAATAGGAATGAAGTATATGTAATGATTGTGGAAGAAACGGACGAAATGTATTTGTAACCAATCGACACATTTTCTACAAGATGTAATGAAGGATGATTCTTTTTTTGTGTCTGTGTTTTCTGTTTAATTGAAACAATAAAAAAACTTTTCAAAAAAAAAAAAACTTTGGCAACTTGAAGGCCTGTTGACTTCAACTCCCAGAATTCCCCCGTGCTGGCTGGGGAATGCCGGGAATTGAAATGTGTCTTCAAGTAGCCAAGGCTGGCTTTAGGCAATGTTGCACAATATCTGGAGTTCACAGGTTGCCCCAAAGCTGCATTCAGATATAAGGTATAAGCACCTGTGGTCCAGAGTGGGAAGAGGAAAATAATCCTTGGGAAGCAGGTAGCATTGGAAGATCATAACATGGACATTTGGGTCAGGTCTTCCGAAACACAGCTCAGCAAGAAGCAAGCTTTATAGACCAACTAAGACATAGTTACAGTGGCTCAGTGGCTCAGTGGCTAAGACACTGAGCTTGTTGATCAGAAAGGTTGATAGTTCGAATCCCGAGCACCGCGTAACGGAGTGAGCTCCTGTGACTCGTCCCAGCTTCTGCCAACCTAGCAGTTCAAAAGCACATAAAAAATGCAAGTAGAAAAATAGGAACCACCTTTGGTGGGATGGTAACAGTGTTCTGTGCACCTTCGGCATTTAGTCATGCCGGCCACATGAACACGAAGATGTCTTCGGACAGCGCTGGCTCTCTGGCTTTGAAGCGGAGATGAGCATTGCCCCCTAGAGCTGGAAACGACTCACACAGATGTGCAAGGGTTTGCTTTACCTAAGACTTAGCACTTCAACTTTGGCTGAGTTCAGAAAGCTGCTAGCAGTATTCAGATAGAAAACTGGGGAAATCCTGTTGTATTAAGTCTTAACTCTCTCTCTCTCTGACTCTCTCCTGTTTTTCGATGGCGTTTGCTACTCTAGATGATGACTGCACCAATTCCTTCACCCCAAACCAGGTTGCCCGTATGCACTGCTACCTTGATCTAGTCTATCAAAGCTGGCAACATATCAAGAAGCCAGCCCCCATTGCCATCACGCCTCAGATTGTGGACCGGACGGAAGCTTCCGTTACTCTGGAGTGGTTTCCACCCATTGACCAACACTTCTTTGAAAGGTGAATGGGTGGGACGACGTGTGAATATCAGCTCCGAAAGCTGTCAATGATACAGAAGGATTGAGTTCTGAATGTTGTTGGATGGCTGTTCCCCTTCTGATTGAGGGACATGGTGGCTCAGTGGCTAAGACACTCAGCTTGTTGATCAGGAAAGGTCGGCAGTTTGGCAGTTAGAATCCCTAGCGCCGCATAACCGAGTGAGCTCCCGTGACTCATCCCAGCTTCTTGCCAACCTAGCAGTTCAAAAGCACATAAAAAATGCAAGTAGAAAAAATAGCAACCGCTTTTGGTGGGAAGGTAACAGCGTTCCATGCGCCTCTGGCGTTGAGTCATGCCGGCCACATGACCATGGAGACGTCTTTGGACAGCGCTGGCTCTTGGTCTGTTTACAGGATGATTCTACCCACTGCCAGAAGTTCGACCCTGACCAATTCAAGGTTGACTCAGCCTTCCAACCTTCCGAGGTGGGTCAAATGAGGACCCAGATTGTTGGGGGCAAGAGGCTGATTTTGTAAACCGCTTAGAGAGGACTGTGAAGCACTATGAAGCGGTTTATAAGTCTACGGGCTATTGCTATCCCTCACCCACATTGCAGGTTTCATTCTCAACTTCCCCTTTCCTTGGGCCTCAATGGAGGCCAGGCAATGTGCATTCAATTTATATTTCATAAGGTGGGCGATTGTACACGCCATAAATTCAATCTGTCTATTAAGAGGCCTGCTGATCGAAGGCTAATTGTTGTGTAATGAAAGACGCCAGTCCTGAGGTCCCTCTTCAGCCTCCATCAGTCTGTTTTTATTAAGCCACGGCAAATGGATACTTAAATGACATCCAATTGCCAGCCAGCCCGAGCTAAGATTTCATAACAAAAAACCTTAAATCAACACTCAAGTTTTCTTTTGCAGACCCTGCCATTGGGAGGGTTTGGTTTCCCCCCCCCCCCCATGGAGCAGGTATGACCTGGAGATATCAAAGGGAAAATTCTCCTGCAATGATGTCATCATTTTCTAAGGTTCCCCCCCACCTAGTCTTGGATAAATAAATCTTTTCCCCCTGAAGACTGAAGGGAGGGAATTGCTTAAACGTCTTATTATTGAAACTGTAAACTATGCACACTGAGAGCATCTGCACCAAAGACAAATTCCTTGTGTGTCCAATTACACTTGGCCAATAAAGAATTCTATTCTATTCTATTCCCATTCCCTATTCTATTCTATTTCCCTTCCCTATTCTATTCCACTCCATTCCATTCCATTCTATTCCCATTCCCTATTCTATTCTATTCTATTTCCCTTCCCTATTCTATTCCACTCCATTCCATTCCATTCTATTCCCATTCCCTATTCTATTCTATTCTATTCCCATTCCCTATTCTATTCCACTCCATTCCATTCCATTCTATTCCCATTCCCTATTCTATTCTATTCTATTTCCCTTCCCTATTCTATTCCACTCCATTCCATTCCATTCTATTCCCATTCCCTATTCTATTCTATTCTATTCCCATTCCCTATTCTATTCCACTCCATTCCATTCCATTCTATTCCCATTCCCTATTCTATTCTATTCTATTCCCATTCCCTATTCTATTCCATTCCACT